CGGAGCATTCCAGTCCCCACCCCCCACCTTGCCAGGATAGTTACCGTGAGAAACCTATGTCAGACGACAAGGAATCATTTGTCAGTCACAAGCGAGCAGCTATAATTCAAGCGCCACTGGCGCAGTATCCTCCTCTGGCTGGAGCTGTATATCTTAAATGCACAACAACACGCCAACAACACTCGACGCGTCAAGCGGCATGTCAGATTTTCGTAAGATTCCCGCGGAATTTTTCTCCGCGTGTCTGCCTAGATATCTCAATTTGGTAGAACTAAAGACCGCATAACTCACCACAGGTGTATACAGTGTCCAAGCCAGGCGAGGAATACTAGGTACTACCTTGTGCTTACATCGTAGAGAAGATACAATGCCCCAACCCCCAGCGTTGCAGCCTCACCATACCAGCTCAAGCAGAGCATAGTTACCCCAGAAGTTCCGGAATTTCCGGGGGATAGCTGGGGTTTTTCTGGATACCCCTTGCGTGAGGCCATTGGATGAGAGAGAGCGAAACTCAATCGCCACTACTGTAAGTTGCGGTAGACAAGGACCCTTGTCCTGCATAGGCGTGCAGGCTACAGAAACCCGTACATGATTACTGTGGATTACAGCGAGGAGATGGAGGAGCTTTGGACGCGTAGTTCCTGCACTTGATACAATGCTGTTGTTTTGTGGGTTTGAGCGTTGATTTGGTGCTGCAAGATTGACTTTGGGAGCGATAGTGATCGGCTGGATGGGAGACTGTGTTGGACACTATCTGTGCAGGCTGCGGTATAAAATATCATTGTCTACTGTACTCCGTATATCGTGCGAGATTAGGGTAAATATGTGTGGACTGGCCAGGTCCGTTGATAGCACAGATCACTATTTGAGGCTGTCTACTGCGTTGATCGAGCGGGGAGCATGTAGATTGTATTGCGTGTTACACAAAGAAAGAATAAATTTCATGGTTATGTAACTCCTCGTAGCTATACAAAGGCTTTCCATTTGCATTTATATGGCCGAGAGAGTGAATGCGAAGAGTTTCCACGAATAATGACACGGGATAATACCAAATTTCGGTAGGTCTGGCTTCTCTGCTGGGTACTATTTTTCTTAATACGGTAATTTACATTTTCACCGTACCTTATACCGATGTCCACTTACCGATGTACCTCACCCCCATCATCTTTAATGGCAGAGGAACTATAACCGCTGCCTGGCCATAGTTCCAATCTACCCGATCTCACGGATACCACTCGTATAGAGCAAGAACAACAAGGATAAAAAGGTTCCTACTCTCTATGCCTAACCTTGACGTTGATAACGCAATCGGGCAGGATGCGCCCAACCGGACCCAGGAGACAGGATAGTGGAAACGGCGGATCGGCGGGAAAATTAGGCTGGATTGGAGGGCAATTGAGAAAGGCAGGGGCGTGTGGACTGTGGAGGGGCTGATGAGTAGTGTCTCATACCAGCTAATGAATGTCTTATCCTATCATCTGAGCACCAGCCTTCCGTGCCACCAAAGTCGATATGTAGGTTCTCTATGAGGACTCCCGTTCTGTGGCGAAACCGCCCAGCCCTGCTTGGGCAAGAAGCTGCCGGCCGCACCGCGCCGCAGATAGGAACAGAAATAGACATACATGATACATGACTCGGTCGGATCGGGTGAAAAGTTATTTGTTTAGGTATCTCTGTATACTATCGTTAACATGGGGCATTTTCCCACGCCTGACCGAATATTTTTCATTCTTGTCGGTGTCGTGTCATCGGGGACTTTCTCCCCTCCCAAAATAACATGCCATGCCAATCGGAGAAATGGCAGGATCCAAGCCTCCGTCTCGCCTAGGCGGAGCCTGGTCTCCAATTCGCAAACTATTGAATTTTGCACGACGGACGGCTGGACGGCACTATTGGACGTGGATAGACCGGAGAATGTAACCAGCCGCAGGTTGAAGATGGACCTCATCGGCTCCACTGCACGCCACTTCGCCTCAATCCTTTCTCCCTTCTCCCATCTTCCCTGTCGCTTCAGCTGGTGTCTGGCAGATGATCGGAGACATGCTGTCTTGACTGGCTGTGGCAAAAGTGTAACTGCATCTTGCATTCTATCTATCATATGTTGTTGCTATATGCTATTAAGAAGAGGAGAAGTAATTGGGGGGGGTTTGTTGGATAGGGTGATGGCACGGGACTCTGGTAGAAGGATTTTCAATGACGTGGAATTTCCCAGATATCCGTCGACGGGCGGCCCGCAAACGACTCAACGGCCAGAAGAAGCAAAAACCAGCGATGTCGGGATCCTTTGGGTTTTGTGGCCGTGCGACTCGCCAAAAGTAAATGTGCTGGGGGGAGTGGAGAGCGGGAATACTATCGTGTTGGTTTTGAACGGGATGTTCCCAATAACTTGGTTCACAAAATCCTGTACAAGGCATTCATGAGCCTGTATGGAGTATTATTGTATGGGGTATATGGAGACGGGTTATTCGGTGCCGCGGCTACCCATACCGCGAATATTTACCCTCTTGGTGTTGTTCTTCTGGCGGTGTGCGTTATATGGGATGTACCTTGGACGGACTCCCGTGAAGAAGGGATTCCCGAATTTGTGATTTCGGGCTTCAATTCTGATATCATGCCGGCATTTGCGTACGCCAATGATGGAGGAAGATGATCCTGGTGGGAACTTGCCACGATGATGAAGTCACCTATTCTTCCAGAACGGTTGGTAGGGCGGGAACTAAATTATCGTAACGACCAATAACTGGACGCGAGAATGGAGACTGAAGGAAAGCCTAAATTACAATCTCCAATTGAGCGAATAGTATGTACTGTAACCATGCTTCGTACTACCACGGAAAGAAGATTGTTTCCCTTATCGAGTCCTGGATATTGGGATGACGGGCATTACGAAAATGTAGGACCAATTGACCTTGATCAGTATCTCATTCTCCGACTTGTATTGTGGAGCGTCCATGTATTCTGTACAGTACGTACTAACCAGTTAACTAGTCAACTGGCGACCGTTTCGTAACGGGTGATTCTTATTGCAAAGTCGAGATATACAACCGCACCAGCCCAGATCGCAATGACAACCAAGTCGCCAATAAGTCTAAACAAACACCCCTGGCCCGAGTTAAGCATGTCTGTCCCCTCCACTCCATCAATCTGGTTCTGTTTGTTGTTGTTTATCGAACTTGGTAGATCTCTGGAGACTCCCGCCGTGTCTTCCATGGATGAAATGACGGCTGGTCCCTCAGTCTTCCCGTGGGTGGGCTGTAACTTTGGTTCTTGAAATTACCCTTCAATACCGCAACTGGAGTACTGTAGATTTCAATTGCTTCCTTTAAGCTTGCAACGAAGCGGTCTCTAAACAATACTCCGTACTCCATACTTCGTATTCACCTGCTATCTTCCACACGAGCGGGCTAGTGTACGTATTTATTCATTTTCCATCCCGCTCCCCCCTCCGAAAGCCACCAGCGCATGCTGCCCAATACACTGGGTCGACTGGCGTTGATATACCAGCAACTCTACCACTTTCCTGGGGCGATCAGCCTGCCACTCTCCTTAGCCCATCCCGTCCCCTCCCCAAGGAATACAAATCCGATAGGGTTTCAAGAATTTCGAGAAGCCGGCCGATCTAAAAGTTGAGAAGTCCACTTACTAGGCCCAATCAGCATCCGGCCAATCGTTATTTTGTAGTTGCGACCTTGTTTTGGTGCACTCCCCCTTGCAAGCGATGCACACAATGAAACTCTCCTGCGGTTGACAACTTGGCTCGTCTTTGCTAAGGTCTCAGTCAGCCCCGTATACGCTTTTCAATGATCGAGAGCAGGATAGTCTCCGGCGCCCATTGGACAGTCATTTTGTCTCTATTAGGTATTGATGAGTTAAGATTTCCCGAGAATTGGGTCATTGGGATCGTTGATCCCTGTCTATTTTTGTGTTCGTCGTCATCGGTGGGGATGAGGGCCTTGCTCTGTATACAAGTCGGATGGAAAAGATGTCGAAAGGGGCTATGATTATATCATACTCATACAAGGAGTCTCGCATGGAATTGCGATTGGATAATTGCATCATCCTCTTGGGCGGTGATACCCATGATGATTCCGGACCAGCCCCCGGTCTCCCCCCACTTAAGAAAGATCCTCCAGGTCAACTTCCCAACTTTGCCTGGGTGGTCTCCCAGCCTGGTAGTTATACTTCGATTATTGGGGACACGGAGCCAGTTGAGATCCATGGTTGGTGAATGCACTTTAATGAATGACATTGTTTGACGGACTTGGGGCGAATGAGTATGAAGATTGGCCCTTGGCTAATTTTTATGCTACAAGGAGGCTCTCCACCAAGGTTGTGTATCGACACCGCTATAGAGGCACATTAGAAACCATGAACGGTATATTTCGTAATCATTTCCCATTTTCAATCCTTGTTGACCTGCCCGTCTGGTTATCATTATTACTCTAGCCGCGGCGGATCCACTGGTTTCTCCGTGATGACTCGAAGGCAAAAAAGAAACGGGAGAGAAGAGCAGACCTGTCAACTCGAGAAAGTACCGCCTCTCGGCCGGGGTGGGTTCAGGGCGTCTGGTTGAGTTTGGAGTGTCTGCGTTTGACTTCCCTGGTCGCGGTAGATTTGCGATCGAGGTTCGATCTGGGGGATGGAGTGTACGTGGAGTACAGTACGGAGTACTTGGTACTCGAGACGGGAATCTTGAAATGTCGGTCTATAGCTACACCGAGGAAAGTAGACGTTTGCAGTATGATTAATAGGCTACTACAAGCTCCATAGGTTAGTCTATACTATCTGTCATCCACGGTTAGGTCTATCTGGTCGAGGATGTATTGAAAGTAGCCCCAGACTCGATGACTACGATCGCGATCCATGCAATCTAGGGAGGGGTACACAGCTCACACGCTTGTGATGGATTGGGGATGTCGATCCTTAACCGGCTGGAAATCTTGCAGTCTAAATTTCTGTGAATTCTCACTGGATCCAATGCGATTATTAGCCCTCCCTCCTCCCCTCCTCCCCTCCCCAGTCTCCATTTGACCCTTCCCTAATGCTCCTAATTGCGCTACTGTACTTGGTTTATTTTGCTTTATTATTATCATTTTTTTTTATTTTCGATTAATTATTTTTTTTCCCTCTCCCTCTGCCTCTCCCCTCTGGCTTGTCCATGACCCTTCCTCTCTCGTTCGCGTTCTTTCGATCTTCCTCTCTCTCCCCAGCTATATTTTTCACAACTTCCTCGCCCCTCGCTTCGTTTCCTCTTCTTTCCCTCTTCCCCGACCCAACCCGTCGGAACCTCTTGGAAATTCCCTTGAGCTTGCCCTTGCCCGGTTGACTGAACTTTTCCGTTTAGCCCTTCGATCGACCGACCCGACACTCCGGCTTAGGTTCCTTCCCTCCCCCAAGCCTGAGTCTTCCCCATTCCCCCCGTCAGCCGAACTCCACCGCGTCACGGGGTTCCAAAGTACAACTCTATCCTCCGTGAATCTTCTTTCTCGCTGGCTTGGGTATTCAATTTACGGTGAGTGGATCTACATTTATTATCGTCATCATTATTAGGATCAAAAGTCGTTCCAAGTGTTCCCACTCCGTCGTTCCCCACTCCGTTACCATACCATACCTGGATACCGGGTACCAATACGAGACGTACTCCATACCGGACCATACATACCCAGCCATCCTGGACTGTACCTCCCGTACCTCCTCGTACCTCGAACGGAGTCCATTTCCCTTTACCCCCCTCCTTCCCTGCCCAACGACTCCTCCAAAACTGCCCGCTGCGATCTATCTGATACCCTTCCTTGCCGTTTTCCTACTTCCCAACTCCTCTCTTCCGTTCCCACTTCTTTGACTGCCTGGTTCTTTGCTTGATCTCGACTCCATCCGGGCTTGCGTATGATCCCGACTCCGATCTTCCCTCCCCTCCGATCCTGGCTGTATCTGATGCTTTCTTTATTCTAGTCTAGTTGCTCCACTCAGCTTGAAAGAAAACCTGCGAGCTTACCAACGTCCAATTTTGCGACGCCGCACACCCACTCGGCTTGAATTCGCCGAGCTTCGCTACCTACGGCCCTTCATTATAACCGTTACTGCCTGCACCGCGCGACGTTACACGCGGCCTTTTTGCATTCCTTTCTCCAGATCTTCCCCAGCGCGCGCCGAAACGTCATCGAGGAAGCTCCCTCGGTCCCGTTGCTTCCTTTCCATCCGACGCGCAACCCTTCTCTTCTTTCTCTCCCATTCTTTTTCCAGGTTGCGCCTCGCCATGTTCCTCTAAGCAGCTCTTTCAGCATTAAGCTATATTGCTTCTATCCGGTACTATTCCCCCTCTCGATGCCACCCCCCTCCCCTCCCCCACAAAAAAATGGAGCTGCCCAAAAATAAAAACAAACCGGAATGCGCCTGACTCCAGTTGCCCCCCTCCTAGAACTCCCTTGATACTCTCCCACTCCCCCTCCTTGTGTACGCGGGTCTAGACTGCCTCCCATGAACCGCGGACCTCCAGAGGGGCCTCATGCGCCGCCCGCGCATGCGGTCTATGAGCATGCCTGGGCTCGTCCGCCATACCCACCCACCTTCGACGGCCACCCAGGCCATCCCAGCCACGCGCCGGACCGACGGCCTTCGAGTACCCAGGCACCGATGCCCGGCCACGGATACCACCCCGTTCCTTTAAACCGAGAGCTCCCCCAGCTTCCACCGGACGGACCTTATGGACGCCCTAACAGCTTACCGGGGCCCGCGCACCCTCCTTCACATCCTCCTCCGCACCCGCAAGATCCGACCCCTCCTCCTCCTCCTCCGCACGGGGGTTACCGACCTGCCATGAATGGCGCCCCGCACGAATCATCGCCGCATTCTGCGCCTCCAGAGTATCGCTCGCGCATGAGCTTTCAGTCCGAGACCTCTGCGCCGGGCGAGGTGACCCCTACATCTGGCCCACTGCCCCCTTCATCGTATATGCCACCCGGACCGCCAATACCCCCCGGCACGCCAGGCCCGTATGATCCGAGCTATTACTCAAATCCGGCCTATGGAGCTCGCCAGCGAAAGGCGGCTCGTGCACAGCAAGTAAGTGGTGAAGACACAGGGTGTTGAGAGGAGACGGTACTAAATACTGTCTTGTAGGCTTGCGATCAATGTCGAGCGAGAAAGGCAAAGTGCGATGAGGGACGACCGGCGTGCAGTCATTGCAAGGAGAACAACTTGATGTGTGTTTACAAGGAGATTCCGCCTCATAAGTGCGTATAGCCCATTGACCTTATCATACCGCAAGAGGGAAAAGCGCCGAACTTGAAGTATTGACGCTATTCCCAACAGACAGGAGAAGAGTGTGCAGCTGGTCCTGGATCGGCTTTTGGAATTGGAGGATAAAATGATGGAGAAATTCGAGATCACCAACAAGATGTGGAAGACGGAGGAGACCTACAAAAATCAGTTGTTGCAAACCCAGATGCATTCAGAACTGCGATCGCAAACCCAGATGCTCACAGACATTTGGTCGGCAGTCGGGGGCAATGACCCCTCACGATTGACATCTTCTCAACCCATTGCAGCTCTCCCGATCCCTCCCATTCCCACCGTCCCCGTGGGTGGCCCACCGCCAGAAACGCTGATGAAGGTAGAGCCTGCATTGACCGAAGCACTCGAAGAACCGCACGCTTCGACCTCCTTTTATTCACAGACCACTATAGATGCCGGTCCACAGCCGATATTGAATCCAAGTTTTGAGGATAGTGCTAAGAATGACAATGAAGGAGAGTTGTCGATCCCCGTGGAGCATACAACGGCAGCACACAAACTTCTCATGTGGCCTTCCATCAAGAGGTTACTCAACGCGGAATATGACGAGGATTATGTGATGCGATTGGAGGAGCAGCGGGGTCTGATTAGTGTCTACGGCCAGGGTGAGATCTCATACACAGCCGACGACACGTTACTACCAACGCCACCCCTGCCGAGCGACGACGGTGGCTACAGCGAAAAGAAATCAAACCCGGATGGAACATCGAAAATTCTCAGTGCTACCTCATCTAGAGATGCCGACGCTGAAATCGACCGATTCGGACTGCTCAGGCTAGATGGAAAGACGGCTCATCGGTACTTCCAGAGCTACCTGAACCGCATGCACAAACTGCACCCGTTCCTGTGGCAAGAGGAGCTGGAGATGAAGGTCGATGCATTCATTAGGTGCTATTGTCCACGAAGTTCGTCCGACTCATCGTCGGAGCCGAACTCTTTGTGTCGGGATAAGAAGCGAAAACGTTCGCACGAGGACGAGGACCTTCCGGGGGTTCGAGGCACGTCTGCAGACCCCAGCTCGGCCTCATCCCGGCCTCGCGTAGGTCGGAATATTGATAACGCTATTATCCTTCTCGTCTTTGCCCTGGGTGCAATTTGCGAGCACAAGTCACCCCTGCCAGGCCCGATCATGGACCAGAAGGTTGAGGACTACCGAGACCAATACATTCCTTCCCCTCTTGGACCCGTACCCCATCGACCACCTCTCCAGCCTGTTAACGGTGCCGCCCATGCCGCGAATGGTGTTCTCTCGCCTCCCAACTCTGAATCCATCGTGCCTCACAATTCTGACTATGCGCCGCACTTCCAACAAAGTCAGACCTACAATTCTGAACCAGACCCGAAGCAAAACCTTTCCCGGCGAAATATCTCCGCTACGTCTGATGAATACGGTCATGTCAAAAATTTGCAAGTCATTCCTGGTCTTGCGCTATATGGCTATGCCACGACAATCCTCGGTCTGCTTCAAGGAGGTGTGGAACTGCAGCATGTTCAGGCTGGTTTGCTTGCTGGTCTGTATGCTGGTCAACTAGCACACCCTTTCCAAAGTCATGGTTGGATCTGCCAGGCAGCCCGCGCATGCCAGGTCCTCGTCCGACAAAAACGGTATGAGCGACTGCCCGAAGGCCGGACCCAGGACTTGTTCAACTTCGCCTACTGGACCTGTCTGCAGCTTGAGAGCGATCTCCTCGCCGAGCTCGATATTCCTGCAAGTGGTATCTCACGTTCCGAGGGTCGTATCAACCTGCCCAAGGGCCGCTTTACTATTGACATCCCAGACGACCTTGAAGCGCGCAGCACACGTATGATGCTGTTCTATTCGGCCCAGATCCATCTCCGCAAAGTACTCAACCGCGTTCATACCGATCTCTACAAAGTTGACAAGCAAGGTGAAACTGGTCGGTGGTCTTCTAGCGTGCAAGAGACTCTAAGTATGAACTTGGAGCTTTGGCGTTCTAGCCTCCCCGAGACCATGAACTGGAGAGATGACGATCCACCCGCTTCCGACATCAACGCTGCTCGCATGCGTGCCAAGTACTACGGTGCTCGTTATATTATCCACCGACCCTTACTCTATCATGCCCTCCACTGCGGCCAAACTGGTGCCCGCATTGGCGCCCTGCCCAAGTCCACCGCCGTGGAGTCGCCGACCGGATCCGCCTCAAATTCACAATCCCAGCATATGTCACCTTCCATGACACATGCCTCTGGTCGTGCTAGTGGCGTACATATGCAGCGCATGCTGAGCGATGTAGGCTCGGCGCCTAGTGGTCTCTCTTACCCCAACAACTGGACCCCGCCGACCGTCAATTTGCGTGACCTGCAATCTAAGCTGCGCCGCGCATGTAAGGTCTGCGTTGAGTCTGCCATCTTAAGTACCGAAGCATTCGATGGTGTTGAGGACCGACTCATTGTGACGAATATCTTCGGTACAGCCCATGCGTGAGTATCCCATGACCCCTATTATATCTGTGATGAGCGTCCCGACTGACGTCTTTTTCTCGATTTACAGTCAATTCGGTAACATGCTCGTCCTCTCTGCAACATACAACTCCAGTCTCTCCGAGCTCGTTGAGCGCTCCACCCTGGAGCGCCTTCTTAAGCGCACCATTCGCTTCCTCCTGCGTAGCCAGAACATTTCGCCCACACTGCGTGCCGATGCTCGCATCCTCACTGAAATTTATACCAAGATCTTCCATCGTGCACCTGACCTTACTGAGCCTTCGAAGTAGCTGTCGCTACTGTCCTTCTTTTCTGCATGACCCGCTCGCCGCTCCGGGTCGCCAGGAGTTGTTCATGTTTTTTATTTCTGTCTTCATCAGACTTGGGTTGGGTTAATTTTGAATTCATTCAGTATCGGGGTCCGGGAATATTTGAAATGCCCCCATCCCCGAGGTGTTTATGTGGTGTGGTCAGCCTCTTTATCATTGTTCATTTTTTCTCTTTTGGATATGGCTCCATTGTTGTTCTTTTTTTTTACACCAACTAGCATGGCCTATCTTGGACCTTGTCTTTCAATTTTTCATATTGCTGCCCCTTTCTGTTCTGAGTGTGGCATATACGGTCTTCTTTTCTTTTGATTTTTTTTTCTGCATGGGTGGTTTTGACACGGCCTATCATATATCCCATATCTCTCTTATTTCTACTATACCTTGGTCATATCATGAATATATGTCATCCTTTTCCCTTTTTTCACCGGGTTGTTTGGACGGCCCGGTGGGGAGGAGGTTCATCCCGAGGTTTCAATTGTTTTGGATTTTGCCTTGTATTATGTGAGTAGTTGAGTACATTGGATTGATGATATTTGCGTCGAGCTTCGTTCGGGCTGGGTGTAATTGATGCACCTCAACGAGTTTTAGTCTTGGTGAGTCTGATTGGCATTGAGTAGATGCGTTTTAATTTATGCGCCATTTATCGGCGTGAAAATTTCAATTGATTTCCACTCATCTCTGCTTTTTCTTACCCCTTTCTTTCAACATCAGACCGGAGCTATTTCTACTGTGACACAAATTCATTCGATGTACCTATATTCAAAAAACTATATGATTATCATTTACTCGCATTTGACAAGTCCTTCATTTCGCTCACAGGGAATAATGCCGCAGGAGAGCCTATCTTCTCAGCGAAGAAGGCCACCAATAAAGTGAGTTCGAACCATACGATTATAACCTGTGACATATACTTCGAAGAGAACTGACAAGATGTCAATGAGCTAATGAGCCCTTCTATGCCGCTCATATTACTTAAAAAAAATGCAGAATCAAGGGTTTATCGGTCATATTTGCATCGACAAATTATTTACAAAGTTTCTCGTAAGACTCATTCAAAGATACCCTGCCACTTTCAACTCCTACCACCAGGCCTTACATCTTCAGCGCTAACTTATCACAGCCTACTTCTTAACTCTCTAGCAAGTTCCCGAGCAGAGAGTCAGTGTGACATCCGAGTTGGCATTGCAAACCTTGACTTGGCTGCCACCGCTAGTAGCAACACCCTTAGGCCAGCAGATGCTTGGACAGCTGGCCGATGACTTGACACCGATTGCGTGGTTCGAGAAGGGATCACCGAAAACGTCGGACAGATCGTACCAGACTTGCTGGCCGTCGAGGGTGTAGGCAAAGTTGGTCTGGGGGCTTCCATTGTACAAGCCATTATTGACAGTGGTAAGCTTGATGGCGATGCCACCGGACGCAGGGTCATGGTGCAAGACCTCGGAATAGGTGCCGCCAGAGGCGACAGTATACATTTGGCTGACAGAGCCGCCAACAGACCAGAGGTAGACGGGGAAACCACACTTGTTCACAACCTTCGCGTTACCTACAGCGCTGGCAAGAGGAGCCAAGGCCGCAACGGTAGCAATGACAGCTGTGGTGAAGTGCATTGTAGATGATTGTTGTAGGAGAAGTGTAGGAGAATTGTTGTTTGACTAAGAAGACAAGGTTGGATGATCTCTGTGTAGACTTGATGAAGGATGAGTTTATATAGCTTTTTGTAAACTCATTGCCAAGAGAACTATACGAGCTCTCATCATTTTCACTTGTCATGATTGTCAATCGAAACCATGATCAGTCCACGAAAAGTCCGACTATCTGAGACAACGACAATAAAGCGGCAAGTCTGACCACCAACAAGCCCACCTGAGGAACAGAATCGCATTTTCCATGAGTCTCAAAAACCCCTCATGGCAAAAATAGGCAGATAACTATGACCGAGTGTCCGTGATGATAGCATTGGTTGGAATGAGATCGAATACGGCAGGATGTCTCTGAGCTCGGACAGCGGGAACTCTGCAAGGCTGTGTGCCATTTCGTAGTGCCACACCCGGTTTGGTGGGGAAGCTGGGGAGAGCCTGAGACATAGTTACATCCCAGGTACAACCTGCATAACTCCAGAATTTCTCACAGTCATGACTAGCTCAGCTAGTCCCGCTTGGTTCGTTGAGATCACCGCTAGAATTTGGAGCACGCTATGGTTGGTAGTGTCTCACCCGCCGAGCTGGTATAAGTCATGATGCTTGAGGTGAACCCGAAAGACTCTGACAGTCATATGATGATCCTATAATACGAGATCAGGCCCCAGTGGGCAGATTCGTGCAGCCTGTTTGATATCAAAAAACGGAAGATGGGGGATAGGAAGAGGTATCGCCCATATGGGTCTCTGATTGTCTTACACTGGCTTGATCCTGGATTTGGCCTGTTAGTAAAAAGCAAGGACTCGATATCAAAAGGTTTTATCGTGAGCCTTGCTGAAAATTCGATGTGTCATGCGGCAGTGAAAATTCATCTTGACACTAAGCATTTCATTACAGAATGGATCTATTCTACAATTTCAACTTTTAGAGAGACGAATGTTAAGCGAGCACAGTGGAATATTAGTGAATTTACCTAGTTTCAACCAGATTCGTTAGTCTAAGAACTATCAAGAGAAATCTTCTAGCACTGAACATGATCCGCAAGCATAGGTCATGAGTCTATGAATAATCAACAGGAGCCAAAACAGAGGAAGGCAAACAGCTGCTATCTTGTACTCAATCTTTCGGGCAGCACCTGGCAGACGATTATGACATATACTCGGTGTTGGGCGAACCCACCATGGCTTCCCCGCAACGAGGGAACTTGGATAGGTGTATCAGTAATCTATCGGCAGTTCCGTTGTTCGTTCAATTCCGTAGCAAACAGGCAACCGAGGCACGCCGGCGGAGAGCTATCCCACCCCCTGTTTCTCTCTTAGACGATCAATCCTGGAAACAGCATGGACTATAGCTTCCACCAATCAGAGAACCGGAATCAGGTGAATAGGATCGGACTCTCGGACTTTTGCAGGACCCTGTATTTCCCCGCATTATATCCCAAGGAATCTGACGAAATTTTCATTAGAAGATCGTCCTTCCATGTCAGATTCAGGGAGTGGCGCGGCTTATCGCTTTCCCCAGACCAGATACATACATTCCCCGCCTTCAGTAGACTAATAAAATGACTTGAAGAATATGAACATTGGACTACTTCTTTAGAACTCTACAAAACATGCTAAAGCGTTTTGCCGCCATCCGAGGGTGAAGCAGAGAGCTCCAAAAGGTTTAAAAGCTGGATTTTGAACCCAGGACAAGACAATGTTGTCGTAAAGCCATCTCTTTCAAAAGCATTCTCGAAAGAGCCAAAATGGGAATAGTTGTCCATTCACTCTTGGCAGCATTTTACATGCTCCAAGCTTTTGCTGCTCCTTCTCTGTATGGGGCTCACACCCATAGTCCTGGGCTCATTGTTGAGACATCCTCGGGCTCGATCCATGGCCTTGTCAACCGTTCCACACCTGATGTCCGCCAATTCCTCGGTGTCCCATTTGCGGAACCTCCCGTAGACAACCTACGATTCGCCAAACCAGAGAAAAAGAAGCCAAACGGAATTGTCAAGGCCTTCAATCTTCCTAATTCCTGCATGCAGCAGTTCAACACGAATAGTTCCACAATCTACACTACATACGAGAAGGGCTTTTTAATCAGCGGCGGCAATTCCGAGGACTGCCTGTACCTCTCGATATGGGCACCCAAACTTGAGAATATTCGGTTACAGCAGCGACCATTGCCCGTTCTGCTCTACATTCCTGGTGGTGGCTTTACGAGCGGGGGTCAAGCTTCATTGTACAAGATCCCCGATCAATGGGTGCAACGGACACAATCTCATATAGTTGTTATCATGAAGTAAGTTTCCCAAAAAGAAAAGCGCAAAAAGATGATCTTCTAATGATCACAACTAGCTATCGAGTGAATGTCTTTGGCTTCCCAAACGCAAAGGGTCTCGCTGACCAGAATTTGGGGTTCTTGGATCAAAGACTGGCGTATGATATTACAGTACGGTTGTCATTGTTGCACTACTGACAATTATTAGTGTTGAATGGGTCTATGAAAATATTGCCAATTTTGGTGGTGACCCGGACAGAATTGTTCTGTGGGGGCAGTCTGCTGGTGCAGGCAGTGTCACTGTTTACCCCTATGGATATCCCGACAATCCCATCGTGGCAGGGCTTATCGCGGACTCTGGTGGACCTGAAATTGTCGGTGGAAGTGATTCGGCGCAGACAAACTTTACATATCTTGCGGAACTTGTCGGATGCAAGAATCTTGGACCTGAAGATGAGATTGCTTGTGTCAGGAAAGTCCCAGCTCAAGATTTGGAGAACGCATTATCTTGGTATTCTGGGAATAACACCAGTCCATCAATCTCATTCAAACCTGTCGCTGATGGCAAGACTGCGTTTGCCAACTGGACCCAAAGGGTATTGGAAGGAAAGATTGCCAAGATTGTGAGTTTTTTGTCCCTTGGGATGAAGCAAAAGAGAGTAAGGAAAATAGCTGACGGATTCTAAAGCCGTTGATTATAGGTAGCAATACAAACGAAGGGGCTGGCTTTGTCTCCTTCACCCCTGATGGACCAGGGCAGACAGCACTGGACAAAGCGACAAAAATCATCAGTTGTCCTGTCGCAGCGGAAGTAAAGAATCGCAACGCTGGGGATCTTCCAACGTACCGATATCAGTATGCGGGTAATTTCTCTAATATTTCGCCCCTGCCTTGGTTTGGCGCCTATCACAGCTCCGAACTACCTTTGCTCTTTGGAACCCACTCTGAATACGGAGGCCCTTCGACAAGCTTCGAATGGAATGTCAGCTACGCGATGGAGGCTTTGTGGCTCAGCTTCGCTGAGGACCCAGATCGAGGGCCTGTGCGACTTGCCATTGGGGGTGATGTTGCTGAAAATCCCACCAAAACCAGCTTTTTCGCATGGCCTCAGTTCCAGCAAGGGTCTTCTAACTTGCTGCTATTGGCCGAACAGAACAAAGTCATGCAACTTGTATCTTCGAAGAGTATTGATGATGGGTGCTCTAGCTCGTAAGGAACACCCAGGGATGGTCAGTTGGGGGCAGTGCAAAGAGACGTATTAGTTCAAGCCAAGTTAACACACACTAAAGCTATTCTCTTCACTCTGCCTGTGGTAGTCAATGTGTTTTTCTCCATTGTCGGGATTTTCCCCTTCGTGCATCAAATTGTGCAGTGCATGACTGAAATTTCTGCTTTATCCAAGAGTTCACCAAGCCTCATATAAAAATATACTCCAAAATTTGACGTTAAGGTGCCTGTCGCATATAGGATTCCTTCCAATTGACGTATATTCTCAGCAATATTGAATTCCAGTGGCAACCTCATCCAGGGTAATCCTTTAAAAATTCCTCAAACAGAGACATCCTCTAATGTATCGCGAATGAAAGAATTCTGCGATTCATTTCCACCAATTTATCGGCAGCGCGTTCGACGTAAGACTTCGGGCCTGGCCGCGAAGCCACTCGACCAGCTTCACTCGGATCAATACGGGCCCCGTGGCTTCGGTCACTGACCACTCCATCATTGCCATAGTCGTTGTCAGTAAGAACATAAAAACATTGTGTAATCATCCTGGCGTGTTGAAGTGTCGCATCGATCATTTCTTTCCATTCTTGAAGCCTTTGTGCCTGACCATGGAGCTCCATCCAAAGTGCTGTTTTTTCCGGCGTGAACTCAAACTCTTTTGTGGACTTTTCATGCATAGACTTTGCACGCAATAAAAGAGTTTTCAGTCGATGATCAAAGGTATCTTGATCCTCCAAGGCAAGTTCTCGTTCAAACTTCCTAAACCATGCCATGTCCTCGGGATGATTCATAGGCTCCTTTGAGGTGGTAATGATTGACAAAAAGTATTCCTGGAGCTTACCACAGAAGGCTTTTTCTTTCCGTTCGAGGTCTGCCAATGCATTCCTTGCATGATTATAATCGTTCCCAGATTTAAGAATTGATTCCAGTCGCAGCCTCTCCATCGCTTCCGGCCAAATAAGTTCATTCAGGCCACCTCTTGACTCGATCAATTCGACCTCAACATTTCGACGACCAATATTGCGAGCGCTATACCGGAAGTCAGGGGAGCTTTCCTCAGCACCCGATGCGAGATACTGAACCATTTCTCTGTCCATTTTGACAGAGTGGTAGCGCAGCATGTCCAGAGTGTCCACACTAGGCTTCATCCATTGTCGTTTCTTAAAAATGCCTTCCAGATCTTTTTTATGGACAAAATGTCCCGCAATGCAGATCATGACAAACTCCCATTCATCATTCTTGACCGCGTCGGAGAGCAAGCGCGGTTCAATGATTTCGTCACCCATGATTGATTTGGATGACCTGCAAAACGTCCTATCCTTTTCGGGGTCTCTGATAGACTCTAAAATACGTGAACGCCTGGTCGATACATCAATGTCCCGCAGTGCTAGTGCGCGCTCCAAAAGAAGAGTCATCAGTGGATAGTCGCCGTGAGCTCGGGCGATGAGGAAAGGCGTGAGCCCCCGATCGCTCCGAGCAAATATATTCGCACCATGCTGTATAAGCTTCTCGCACATGTGTGTTCGATTGTATGCATAGAATTCGGCTTCAGTACGTCCTGATTGGCAAGCTCGTAGCAAAGGGGTGTTCTTTCTCTCATCGAGTGTGTCAACATTGAAACCATGTGCCAGCAACATTTCAACCAGATCCACTCTACAAGCTCCTGCAGCCACATTGATCGCAGTGACGTAGAGTTTCGGGATAGGTACACGGGCTAGATTGCGGCTTGGGTCGGGTAATCTGTCCAAGTATTGTCGGAACACCTTTGGCTCACCCTTGGCAGCAGCGAATATCAAGGCATTGACATGCACCTTTTCCACGGCAAAGTTCTCCGGGAGCCGGAACAAGTTGAAGATACTAGGGTTCTCCCAGGCAAGAGACATGCTGAAAGGAGAAGATCCTTGCCCATCCTCGATGAATGGGTCGGCTCCATGCTCAAATAATAACGAGACCAAATCAGAGCGCCCAATGTCCATTGTCAGATGCAGTGGAGTCTGACCACGACGGTTCCTCGCCTTTATGTCAACTCCAGCCGCTAAGAGAGTTTCTATGGTTGAGCGCGACTTGCGCTGAATCGCACAATGGAGAGGGGTTCCGATGTCGTCGTTCACAAGAGTCAGGTCAGCCCCGGCAGTAATAAACAACTTCAAAACGTCATCTGCTCCCTGGGATGCTGCGGCGTGTGCGGGACTGGACCCGGATCTATCCTTGTGATTGATGTTCACGCCCTCCAGCATCAAGGCCTTAGCGTTGACTAGAGCCCGGCAAAAGTGAAGGGGAATGCGTCGTCTTGCGTCCAAATCATGGCAGGAAGCATTGCGAGCTAACAAAAATTTGGTCATTCGATCCGAAGTTCCCATCGAAGCAATATGAAGTGGTTTGAGTGGTGCGCTGTCGGGTCGGTTTATAGCTGCCGAGTCGAGATTGAGAATCGACTCGGCAATCTGCTCAGACTCTCTTGTATCGCGATACGAGGCGATCTGTACGGCGAAATGAAACGGATATGTAAACATTGTCGTGTTACCTGGTTGAACTAGCTTTCTGCTTGCCAGAGTTGGGGCGTGCTCAAGAAGAAGCTCAACTGTGTCAACATCTTCAAGATCAATGGCTTGTATGATTGAATTTTTGCCCTCGGGGGATGTCTGAAGGAGAAGGTCCATAGGTAGAAGCTTGACTATTTCGCGCAGCCTCTGCTTACACATGCAACCATGAATAGCAAAGCGTTCAGCATTTGTCAATAGGCTTAGGCAGCAGGCAATAGGAAAAGGGCCCAAGCTATCGACCTTATGCACACCAGTGCCATTTGCAGGTTTCGTTCCACTAAATGCTGCTTTCCAAAGCAGAAGAAGAATATCTGGTTGGTGATACTTGATTGCGAGATGGATCGGCGTAAGCATGGGCCCCGTAGAGTCATCGGTGACCCCAAAGGCAGGGGCTAGAGGATCCGCACCAAGAGAGAGAAGAAGTTTGACTAGTGACTCTCTGCCAGATACAATTGCCATAGCGAGAGGTGTTCCATGAACCTGAAATGGCCATTGAGGATGCAAAAAATCACCTTCAGTAAGCACATGATTCAACCCCTGTTTGAAATCGGGGTTACGGCAGCAGTCTTTCATCAACGGCTGGGCTTCACTAAGAGTGGTCTCATCCAGGCAAAAGAGCCAATGAAGTAGCGATGGAGGTGGACTTATCCCTAATACTCCCATACCGACTGTTAAAAGAAAGATCAATAAATCCCCATAGCCTCTCGATGCAGCCATCACAAAATGAGGATCTAGTATGGGTTCTGCATCTGAGTGCCTAGTAAGGGGCAACAATCTCTCCACGAACTGGGTATCACCCTGGTGGAGTGCGATATCCAGCAAGCCATGCTGGATGGTGGATTCATTCACAGTGAGAAAAACACCAAAACCCCCGTCGCTGTCGTTGAAACATGGCTGTGGTCTTTTTTTAACGAAGGCTTCGCGGAAGTCAGCATAGTTGGTGAATTTAGAGACCGATGTCCCGTCATGTACAACCAAAGATGTGATCGGTTCAGGTCGCCGGGCGATACTGAATCCCAAAGCAAGGCATTCACTATATGTCGGTACTTCGGTACTTGAGTCCGGGCTGAAACCATTGATTATGCGAGGCCCCAAAACGCGAGCGACCAAATGACTAGTATCCTCGGCCATTCGAAGAAACCCCGTAGCCTTGTCCAAATCCTGAGATGCTCCGAAAGCGTTCGTATAGCAAAGCATGGTTTGAAAGGCGATTGAGCCGTCGTCTTTATCTGACTTTGCCCCTTGGGCCACAGTTTCAAAGTCCTGCAAGAGTTGCTGCTGTTGCTCCCAAATGATATGTGGACCGCTCTCTCTACTGAAGATCGAGTATCTAACATCTCCAGACATAGCATATGTCGCGAGCTTTGACTGAAGGGAGTGTCCACCTGGCATCTTGTGCCATGAAACAATAATTGGGAGGCGACTAAGGTCGGAGATCCTTTTTGCCGAATCGGTTTGCAGAGTACGATCCATCAAGGGACGTAGGAACCCCTTCTCAAAGCCAATCCCTGGTATTTTCATGTTGTTCACAAACTCTATCGCAAGAATCTTGAGATGGGAGAGATCAAAGTAACCAAAGACGTGCTGGTCATCCTCATCAATGGATTCCTCGTGAGAGCCGGTCGGTGATGTTAATGTCGACAGTGAGGAGGAACGTTTATAGAGAGGATTCCTTCGCCAGCTACGCTGAAAATAAAGCTGACCATTTGCTAAAATCTCCCACGCACAGAGGCCAAAGGCCCAGATGTCGCATTTGTGAAGCTGCTCGATTGGGATGGGTGTGTCCTTCTGGTTGGCAACTTCTGGTGCATTGTATCTGGTAGGAGTAACTATTAGCTTCAAGTGGCCTGCCGAGCATGCTTGAATACCTCTAGAAGTGCTCACAAAGTTGTTCCAAAATACTGCTTTGTCTTCTTGGAAGCAGATCCCACGATAATGGAATGCCCAAAGTCAGACACCTTGGCGATCGACATGCAAGGGCGATCCAGTGAGGAAAACACCACGATATTATCCATTTTCAAATCTCCATGAACGATCCCACATTTGTGGAGTGCCATGAGACCCGCGCCTACATCGCCCATGAGAATCAACTTTGTTCGGATTGGATGTACTTTCTCCTTCATGTATTCCCTCAGGGTTCCCTTCGAGGCAAACGCGACCGAGATAAACGGCGACGGACGCTGCTTTTCGACGCTCCAGCCATAGCCCAGAATATCAATAATATTAGGATGATGTGTGAGTGGTGGGTGGCACATGATCAAAATCTCGCGCAGAACAGATTGTAGTCGCCTTTGAAAGTAGGAATGCTCAAAGCCTTTCCCTTCCTCGCTAAGTCGGATGCGCTTGATAGCGACGACAGTACCCTCACACTTGCATTCTGTCACAGTGAACGTCTCTCCTGCGGCTACAAAGCGGATCTCCTCCACATCTTCAGCTCGAAATCGTTTCAATTTCAGTTGCTGCACTGTGTGAAGTAGGCCCTCTAGGCTGTTCATGGACTCGACGTCAATATTTTCGCTGAAGCCGAGGCCGTCCACGGTAGACACTCGAGATCGTGAAATTGAGGTAGTCCACGTCAGTATGTCGCTCTGCAACTCATTCGGCGCCCGACCTAGTGGAATCATTAGCCACAAAAGTAGAGGCTAGGTACCTAGCAACGCGTCATGAGAACATACACCTGACCCAGTCGTCGTTCAAGGAGGAGACCGACATCGCGGCTGCTGGTCTGGAAACCAGGAACTCATTAAATTGGGCAGATCATCGGTTTGATGGATTGTTACTGAAGAAAAGAACCAAGATAGAAGAGCAGCTGAGTCCCTGCGGGGGCCAAAATCAGCACAGCCATGGTTTGATTGGACGTTCTCAGCCTCACACCTGTTGCCCGCCATGAACCCCGCAGCACGAAGAAGACCACAGCTTCAAGCACCGATTGTGGTGCGCTGTTCTGTTTTTGTATCTCTCTAAACACAAAGAGCTTGTTGTTCTAGCGTGGTAGCCGACCCGGTCCATGAACTATGATCGATCCTCTTTCCGTGGCGGGCCTGACCATCACGGTTGTTGATGCGCTCATCAAGCTCGGCGAAAGAACCAGCGAGCTGATTCAAGACGCAAATGCCTTCGAAAGTGTTAGTTAAGGTAATGCATAGTAAGAAGCTATCTCTGACCAACCGTTAGGACTCAAACGAGCTGCGAAACCTAGTCAACGACGAGAATATCCAGACAAAACTGATCCGCAATCTGCTCTTCTCCGAATGCATGGTAGGTTTCTTTGAAGAAGCCCATTCAGACTGTTTTTGTCATTGATCTGAACGAATACTATGCAGGTGTATGGCGATAAGTCTCTCTTCGAGCAATTTGACCCCGACATCCAGCGGCAGATCGAGCTTCTCTGCGTCGAGATCAAAGCCATCCTGCAGGAAGGTGTTTATCTTCTCGAGCGCCGATACGGCGTTTCTAAAGAGTGCAATTCCAAGGAGTCGTCAACCGCTTCTCTTCTGAATGTATCTACCTTGTCGCTTTCGCGAAACCGGTCGACTTCGTCCGGCTCATTGCACAGCCTGTCGTGGGGTCGTACCAGCCCTTCACTGCCGGGACTGATCCGATGGTCTTTGCGCGATAAAAAGCGGGTCGAGGCCATTCTACAATCGTTCAAGGATCGTAATTCCCGACTGAAGAAGAAAGTAGAGCTCTGGTGTCTCGCCTCGCAACTGGGTATTTCACCGGAGCATTTGATGCATCTTCAAGTGGATGAATCTTCGAGAAAACTTGGTTTTGATCAAGATGCTTCGCTACGCCTAGCTCAGCTGGACGCAGGAAACATGGTTGCATCCCTCGAGCTCATGGACCCTTCATGGAACTCTCATCTGAAGGAGATTCAGCCCATCGAGAACCAGGGCATGTTCGCCATGTTTATGAAGAACAATGTTGCCTATATTCAGGAAAACCATCACTACGATGCCTTGGCCACACCAGCCACTGCTGGACACGATGTTGATGCACGGACTCGAGGACGAATCGAATCACTCGCCAAGCTTCTGCACCAACCAAAGGAGCAGGTATTTCGCGTCCTCCCTTGTGTGGGGTGGAAATATTTGCCTCGTCAAAGCTCGATCGCGTTTGTATTTGAAGTCCAGCCCAAACCTATAGGGGCACCAGTTAGTCTTCAGAGACTTCTCTTCAACATTGACCTCCGTCCAGAACTGGGAGACAAGTTTCGCCTTGCCCTCGGTCTCTCAAAATGTATTGCTCAGATGCACATGGTCCAATGGGTACGTTCGGTTCCACTGATTGCTGATATTTTGATAAGACCCACAATAGCGCTAATAATACCCACTCAGCTGCACGAGAGTTTCCGAAGCGACAATATCCTGCTCTTGCCCCATCACGTTGATGATGAAAAGATGGGTACCCGCGTCGCAGTGAACTATCCAGAGCCGTGGGTTCTTGGCTTCGAGTTCAGTCGTCCAGAGCCTTTTTTCTCCGTGGGGCATTCGGACTTTGAGCCGGCGCGCGACATCTATCGCCATCCAGACCGCCAAGGGGAGCCGGCAGAGATGTTCAAGAAAATTCACGATATATATGCGTTGGGAGTCGTTCTGCTGGAGATTGGCCTATGGGAGCCCGCACTCAAGCTGGAGAAGAATATGTTTTCACATGCTAACAATCCCAATGCTGTCCGGGCGCAGTTGATTAAACATGCCCAAAAGAGGTTGGAGTCACGTGTTGGGCGAAAGTATAAAGAGGTTGTCATAAAGTGTCTTACAGGAGACTTTGGCGTGGAGGATGATACGAAGGAAGATCTGAAATTGCAGCAGGCATTCCGGCATCAGATTGTTGATGTGATTGAGATGGCTGCGAATTATGTTTAACTGGAGCAGCCCTTTTAAGTAGATCCATAGTTCTCATCCGCAAAAGCTATGAGGATATATATTTCACGGCTCTCAGGCTATCCCTGTAGCTGGGCCTAAAGTTATCTCTACCCTATGGCAATCCGAGAATATTAGAAAGATCGTTGGATCACCAACTGCTGTGATTGCATAGGTAGAAGTTAAAATATATATATATCGTGAGCTGACATGCACCTACCTGATTGCTCACTCATAACGCCCGCGCAAGAAGGTTAACGACGTTGTACGCAGGCGTCTGGACCATCAAGCACAAGGCACCTAGATCTCAGAGATTATGTCCTCGAGGGGGTGGGCAAGTACAAAGAAAGTACGACTTATTTGGAAGAAGGTATCTAAATGAACATCACAAACCGGCATAAAAGCCTGGTCGTAAGATACTGGAAAAGGAAACGATCATATTTCGTAACACAAGCGCCGTACCGAGGGAGGGAAAGATTTTGTAAGTTTTTTGTTTTGAAAAAGAATTTCCTTTTGCCTTCTCGTTATGAACAAGAAAAGCTTGAGTATCACATCATCATCGCATCTTCCTATTGCCCCAATATTTCCCAGAGATCCCAGAAGCCCGAACCCCCACGCGATCTGAAGAGAAAGACTGGTATGCGTTGTCGTCGTCTTCACAGAAAAAATAGCCCGACTATAGGAAGAGGGGGTTTCTCGAGAAAAAGGCCGACACTAATGTATTTCGAGGAGACAAAAGGGGGATAAGAGTAGTGCAGCCGCTTTTTCGAAAAAGAGATCCCCGGAACAAACCCAGTAAGTTTTCACACGCCTTCATAACCTCCGCACCGATGAACGAGAAGAGTGTCACGTCACACAACGGAATGCAAGTTTTGAGAACGGATTTACTCCTGGGGCTCGGCGGCCAGAGCATTGCGCTTGGCCTCGACACGCTCAGCGCGGCGCTCACGGAGAGCCTTGTTCTTGGCACGCTTAGCATCCATCTCCTCCTTGAGGACACGCTCACGTTGGCGCTCAGCCTTGGCCTTCTGGATCTGTAGATATGGAAGAGAACGAGTCAGTGGGTTGGTTCTTCTCTCTTCATGCGATCATGGGGTGGAATGTTGCATTCGATAGTCGAGGGTGGACGGGTCTCATCGGGGATAACTTACGTGCTCAACCAGAGCACGCTTGTGCTTGAAGGTGTTACCCTTGCTCAGGTGGTAGAGCTCGTGGTAGAGGTGCTTGTCGATCTTGCCGGCGGCGCGGTAGCGGACGAGGAGACGACGGAGGACACGCATGCGGCGCATCCAGAGGACCTGGCTGTAAACAGAGAAACACACAACGTCAGTATTGACCGCTCCATTTTTGGGTCTTCCACTGGAACATCCGAAGTCGAGAATTTCGGAAACCAGCTGAAAGGTCGGGTGATGGAGTTCCTGCGTACCTGGGCATACGGGCGTCCTTGGTACCCTTGCGCTTACCCAGACCGCGGTGACGACCGATGCGGCGGGCCTCGTTCAGCTCACGAGCGCGGGCGCGGGAGTGCATGGTGACGGGCTTCTTAATGATGAGGCCATCGCTGACGAGCTTGCGGATGGTCTGACGAGAGTTGGCGTTGGAGATCTCGGTCATCTCATTGGGGTCGAGCCAAATCTTGCGCTTGCCGCAGCCGACCACGGAGGCCGCGAGGCGCTTCTGGGTGCGAAGGTTGACCCTGGATGGAAGAAAAAAGACGGGGTCAGCCTCTGCACACAACACTTTCCATCATAGTCTTTCTGTCTCTGCCACCGGCGGGATCGGTTCCAAAAGTTCAAGTGTTGAATTGACATGGAGCACCGGTATCGTTCGGGATATCGTAGGAGATGAGACTCACATCTTTATGTCGGCGTATCGACGGTCGTTGGCGGATGATGTTCGTTGCACTTGACGGGAAAACCAGACGGTGAGGAGTTTGGGGCGGGCCGATTAGCTAATGTGCTGTAAGCGAGTCCCCTCCATTGCGCATTTGAGGGTTAGGGCTGTACCCTCCGCACTAGTCCCGATTAGGAGTCCGTCTGATCTCAAGATTGCCGGGATTATGGGAGATGTAATGTTGGTAAACTCGACCTTGAACGATATTTTGTTCTAGTTAAATTCAGAGCGTATAATACTTCTGGAGTATTCTTTATTCCACATCAAAGCCATTTGAGCTGTTCATCGGAGATGGTAATGCTGTTTAAACTGCATCGCACGTGATCCAATGAAAATCACTGGTGAAGATCACATGATATAGAACATCCATTTTGGGAAACTATGGGGCAACACCTGTTTTGTATGGGCTGTCTGACATACATCTCCGAATGGATCTCTTGGAAGTCTAATATCTCGTGGATATATCCTCTAAGCCAATTCTACTGACACAAATGAAATATGAACATACACACAACGTAAACAGACTTTTGTACGAAGCTAAAACACAAGAACGAGAATTGGGACAAGGAAGCCCAAGGGTATATCTAGAGACATGTAGATGCACAACCTTGGAATGCTCCGACAAAAGGAAAAAAAAGATCATCAGTCATCGCCAAATGAATCATCTCCCAGATCCACCTTGCCAATACTCCACACTTCCTTTTCATCCTCCACCTCATCATTTGACAAGCCCAGACCACCTACACCACCCTCGGCGACCCGACGCTCGCGGGCCTGAGTGGCAAGACGCATAGCAACTCGCTTGAAGTAGTCAGACATGCTACGCTTGGGTCCGGGAGGCAGTGAAGCGCCGGGGCCGGCCATGTACTTGTCAAAGACTTCGCTGTCCGAGTCCACGACGGAGAAAAGGGACAGGAAAGCAGCTTCGGAGGCTAGCTTCACAGGAATGACCAAATCACGAACACCGGCAAAGATAGGTGGTGCGAGGAGAGCCAGGTGGGGACGGGTCAGCTCGGGGTGCAGGCGGCTTACGGTCCGAATGACAACAAGTGTCAGTCGACGGGTATCGACCGGACCTCCGGGCTGGATAGCAGCAGTCAAAGCCTCGAAGATGGCCTTGTGCGTCTCGAAGCTGTGATCACCGTCATTTGACAGAAGGTACTTGCCAGCAGCGAGCACACTGTTGTCGGAAATGAACGGGTCCTTGTGCGCGATACCCTGGCAAATAGCGGCCGGGGTCTCGACGGCGAAGTTCTCCATCAGAGTAGCAGGAGCCTCGGCGAGGAGAGCATTGAGGCCAAGAATAGATGCGTGCGAAAATTGTCCCGTAAGAACGCGGTGCTTGATCAGAGGAACCGCAGATGCGGCCGGGATCACCTTCACCAGCACACCAAGTAGTCGAGCGTTGGTAATAGCAACGGAGTCAGTCTCATCGCTGGCATCATCATCGATAAGCGCAAGAATGGCAGTACGCGATGCCTCACTCATGTTGGCTCCGGCCTTGCCAACCACCTCCTGGAGTGCCTTCATCATGGCATTTTTGACACCCAGATCAGTAGTCTTGGATCCAGTAATGAGTTCAGCAATAAGAGGATCCACCCTGGGAGTCAGAGTGATCAAAATACCAAGACCCTTGGCAGCACGGTTACGCAGGGTCTCGCTGGAGGAATCGGCAAGACCACGAGCAAAGGTGCGTTGAAGCTGAGGCAAAAAGGGCTTGACAGCCAGCGGTATCTTCTCCAGCAGCTTGTTGAGGGTGAAGAAAATGGCACCTAAATATGCATTAACATTACCATCCGCAGAACTAAACACAAGGATTGAGACTCTTACACTTGATATCCACCGAACGCTCTGACACTACACGAATCAACGGACCAGTGATTTGGGTGACGAAAGGTTTGAGCGAGTTAGATCCGGTGCGGTCGATAACATCGGCGATAGCGAGAGCCGACTGGGTACGCTGATCGGGAGTTCCGTTGAGAAGGCCTTGCAGGAAGATCGGCAGGATGGCCATGATACCCTTGGGAAGATTGAAGCCAGGAAGGTCTGCACCAGCAACGCCAACTTGGCGCAGGATCTGGCGAGTTGGAACCGCCAGAACCTCCATCTCCTCCTTGCGCAAGTGAGAAGTGAGACCACTGAGGGCAGTCCAAGCAGCCTTGACAACGTCCTTGTCTGAATCGTCGAACGAAATCAACAGCACGCGGATCAGGTCCTGGTGGTAACGCGAGTAGTCGAGCTCGGCATCCGAGAAGAACTTGTTGAGGTGTAGAGCTGCCTTGGCCCGACGGCGGTGGTCGTCGTGCTTGACAAGAGTCATCATCACGTTCATGGCGGTGTTCAGACCGTCATACTCATCCACAGACACCAACACAGTATCGAGAGCAGTCTCGAGTTCTGACTGGAGCTCCTCGTCGTCGGTCTGGATGATACCATCCATGAGGCCGTTGATGATGTTGGGAAGTCTTCTCGTCATGGCACCACCAGCAACCTCGGCTAGGGAAGCCAGGGCCCTGGCATTGAAGGAAGAGATGGGAGGCGTGAGCAGCGTAGGAATAAGGTTGGGCAGAATGATATTGGCTCGGGTCTGCTCGGTGAGCAGAGTCAATAGGGCAGACAAGGCCTGTTCGGCCTCCTCGTCATTCCTTAGTAGGTGAAGCAGGTAAGGCAGGACTTGGTCGACGGCCTTCTTGCCCAAGATCTGCTGCAAAGCATCGAAGGCCTCGGCAGCGGCCTCGCGCACGTCCTCGTCACTATCAACCAGAGCCACGCGCACAGTAGAAATGAGGATCTTTTCATAATCTTCAAGAGCCTCAGGAGTAGCAGCAGTAATGAGCTCACGCAAAGCAATACAAATACCCTGCTTAACATCCACATCAGGTGAGGTCTGAAGACCCTCCTCAAGCAAGGGCAACAAGGTGGACAGCACCGACTCTCCAGCCTTCTTGATAAGATCGCCCAGGGCGTTGGAAGCAATGACCTTCTGCTCCATATTGGACGAGCCAAGGCGGCGAATGATGAGCTGGGACAGCGTGGGCACCATCTCCTTGAGGGTCTTTGGTGAAGCAACCAGGGCCTTCCAGACAGCCATAGCGGCACTCTTGACCAAGCCAGAAGTATCGCAGCGGCAGATGAAAAGGGCGGAGAGAACTTTGTCCCTGCGCTCTTCTCCAAGAACCTCCAGCAAGGACTGACCAGCCTGGGTGGCTTCCTCCTCCTCTTCCTCGGCCTCCGACTTGCCGCTGATACCAGTAAGACTGAACAGCAAGTCTCCAACCAGCTCGACGGAGCTGAGACGAATGCGGTAGCTGTCGTCGGCCAAACCACGTTCCAGCTCGGGAAGCAAGAGGTCGATGGCCTTGGTTGCAAAGTTCTTGACAAGCAGGCGGCCGGCGCGGAGGGAAGTCTCACGAATCGACTCGATATCATCGGCAAGACCAGCAAGGATAGGCGGGATGATTTTGCTGAGGTAGTTGGCGAAGCTGTTACCGAAGCAGGCAGGCAAGAAGATGAACAGAGTCATGAAGCCTTCACGAACAGCAGGCTTGGAGCTGGACACATTCTGCAGAATAGTTGGCAGAGTCTCTTCGAGTCTAGTAGTACCCAGACCTGCAAGCACCTCGGAAAGCGCCTGAGCAGATCCCAGTCTGTCACCAGCGCCGGTATCCGACTTGAGAGTGTTCATCAGGTTGGGAATCAGGTCTGGCAGAGCATCCTCTCCAAGCTTCTCGATGAGCGAACCCAGAGCCTTGGAAGCGGTTGCCCGGGTAGTGGGAACAGGATCGACAATGGCGAGGTTAAGACCAGCAACGATAATCGGCAGGTGCGCGATGAGGTCCTTACGCTCAGTAAGATGAGCCAAGCTGCCGATAATTTGGGCAGACTTGCGCTTGGTGGCGGAGCGGTCAGCAAGACCACGCTCAAGGATACGAACAACCAGAGCCAACGAAGGGGCATCCAAATAGTGCACGAAAGACACCTTGATGAGAGAATCAAGGGCCTCATCAGTGAATTTGGTAGGGTCACTCAGAGCCTTAAGGAGCACATTGACAAGGCTCTTGACTTCGGGGTTGCTGATGACCTCACCGAAGCGCTGAAGACTGCGGTTGGCAGCATTGCGGACCTCCTTGTGAGTGTCATTGAGTACAACAGTGAGAGGAGGGATGATGTCGGGTAAGCTAGCAGCAAGCTGTTGAGGGTCAAGGTAGGCCATGGCACCCAAGAGATTGCAAGCTCCCTTCTGACTACGCCATTGGGTGTCATCCAGACCATCAAGCAGGGTGGGCAGAATCTTCTTGACACCGTATGAGCTGAGGTTTTGGAAGCAGGCCTTGGATGCATCCAGACAGGTATCACGAACGTCGATGCTGGGGTCACCGAAGCCGGCGAGCAGCTGAGGAACGAGCTGAATGACGTAGGGCTCAAAGGTGCGTCCGAGAACGAAAGCAAACAGTTCATACGCCAACAAGGCACCCTGTCGTTGATGCGGCTCTTTCTTGTTTTCGGTAGCCTCCTTGAGCAGGCTCATGATGCGGAACTCGCGCAAAGTCGAGATACCCTTACCGCTGACAATACCAGCCAGGCCATAGGCCGCACCACGCTGAGTAGCATAGTCCTTGACGTTCAGTAGCGAGTCGAGCATCTCTTGTACATAATCAGCAGTCTTGGGGCCAGACAGCCTGATCAAGGGAGGCAGGCACTCTGACACAGCGGATTGCACGGTCTCCGAGGGAGTAGGCAGGGTTGCGAGAAGCTTCTTGACGACTGTCTGCAAACGGGGGTCTTCGGCCTTCAAGTGGCGGGCCAAAGCTCCGTAAAGCACGACAACTGCTTCGTTCAGAAGGTCGGAACTCTGAGTGGCCTTGTCCGAAGTCTCCAGAACTGTCTCGAGGAGCTGCATGAGTTCCTCGACCTTTTGCTGACCCCTCTCGGCAATGATAGATTTACCACTCTCTGCCATCTGGCTACGCACGAAAGAGTTCTTGTCAATGAGGGGACCACGCTCAATCAAGAATTGCAAGAAGTTGATAATCTGCTCGCCTTCAAAGAGGTTCGTCATGGCGTTGAAAGCCAGCGCGATACCGCTGCGGCTGACCCAGTTGTCCGTGGATTCCATCTTCTTTGGCATGCCATAGGCATCCTTTTCAGGGGCCTTTGGCTTGACTTCCTCGGAGTATTTGGCCTCAAGCTCGGACAGGATACCGGCAAACTTGCTCTTGTCAAACTCGATGGCGTGAGCCAATGCACGAGCAGCAGCTCCGCGGAGCTGGCTATCCTCAGAGTCCAGATATTTTATGATCTTGGAGAAGGCGGTTTCATCCACTTCCAAGGCATTCTCATCCCAGATGCCCTCAGCAAGCTCGACATTCTCTTCGACCTGGTCGTGGCAACCCAGCCAGATATGTTCCGAGAAATCAAGATCCGTCAGATCGATTTCAGCATCAATGACCTGGAGCACAGAAGTCCGAACGGAGGAGTCGGGGACGATCGTGCCTTGCAAGAGGGTCTGGAGCTCCTCGCTGGTGATAGTAGGTGCAATACAACGACAGAAATCAAACAGGGTATCTTTAATCAGTTTATAATGCTGAGTGTATCTCTGCATACCGGAAAGAAGCTGCTGGAGCACTTCAACGCGAGGAAGGCGGGTATCGGTGAAAGAACTGGTGTGGAATGACAAAAACTCGACAGCAAGCAGAACCTGCTCACCTTCCTGGTCGCCCTTAACCTCATCAATCCCATTTTGGCCCATGATCAGGAAGATCAATGGCAGGATGTAAGCGAGAGAGGGAATATCTAGGGGGCGCTGCTCGGAAGCAAAGCGCAGGCGGTACAAGATTCGTGTGACGAGCTGACCAAGGTGTTCAGATTCCATCTCTGCGGGCAGATTGGTCCTACCAATGGCACGCAGGGTTGCAACGCCCACAAACGGCCGGGTGTTGCCCAGACGCGAGGACAACTCGTTGGAGCAGGCGATATAAGCCTGCGAAACCACATCGCCAACAAAGAGCCCAGCACCTGCACGGGCAAGAGAGAGCAGACAGCTGACGGCCTCGTTGATCCATCCTTCGGCATCGTTGGCAGGTCCAGTTGCCAGACCCCGAACAAGGCCGGCTCCACGTTCGATACGCTTGACTTCCTGGAGGACCTCTTGACGAATCTTAGCCTCCTTTGCGAGTTGAGCGTTTACCTTCGATTGTTCCTCAGCAGAAAGCTTCTTTTGCTTCTGGCCCTTCTTCTCGGCCAGCTGAGCTCGCAGCTCCTCCTCCCACTTCAGTGTGTCATAGTCCTTGGTGTTCTTGTCAAAGGCTGGCTGCTTAGACTTGCTACTCAAGACATCGATGAACGCGGTTCCCTCGGGGGTGCGAGCAATGGCGGCATCGGTAGCAGTGAACTTGGATAGACGGGCACCATCCAGATCCTCTTTGATCTGATCGACGATGCGGGGGACCATGACGTCGGGTGCGACAAAGGCCAGGTCACCTGCTGCGCTCCAGACCGCCACATTGACATTAGGAACAACAGATTGCACAGGGTCTGCATTGACGCGGACCAATTGCTCGATGCATTCCGCTGGATGGGCACGAACCAGGTTTCCTGGATCGACACCACTCCTCAGACACAAGTCAATCCACGAGCAGTTCGGGATCATCTCTGGACGGCCGAGAACAAGTACATTGATCAACTGGCTTTCAATGTCCGAGGCAGCAATCCTGGATTCTTCCCTGGCCTTAGAGGAAGGGCACAAAGCTTTCAAGACAAGTTGGAGTAGACGTTCACTTCCAGGCCCAGCTGAGACAGCGGCTGACTCTTTCTCCGCAGTCCGGAACGAATAAATCCAGGACCAAAGAGCGCTGATGACAATAGGGCCGATAGATACCACGTCTTTAACGTACACAGTGGATAAAGATTCCACGGCGCTCTCTCGATAGCTTGCCGCCATAGCGGGACCAGTTATAGTATAAATAAAGGACTGGGCCCAAGCTGCCTTAGCAGTATTCTCGGCGCCAACAAACTTAGAGCCTGATGTGACGGCAGCCAGAGCGCGGACCAGCCACTGCATTTCTAGAGGGGAGGTGACTTTTGAGTAAGCCTTAGGGTTGAGGAGGAAAGAGGGTTTCGAGCCCATAGTCACGGCTTGGGAAACCTTTTCCTCCCATGTAGCCTTTTCTGAGCCATCGGTATCCGAAATACGTTCGAATAGCGAAAGGAAAATGTATGCAGAAGACAAAGCGCCACTTTGCGCCGAAGGAAGCGGGTTCGAGGCAACCTCTCCAAACATGTCCTTCATCTTAGCCAGGAACTTGGCGACCAATGGCTCGATCTCGGCGGACTTCAGAGAAGCAACGTCAGATTTCCAAAGCACCTCTCCCACGCTAAGTTGCCAGATCTTTCGAAATGGTACTCGTTTATCGGAAATGCCCTTGACAACCGCATTAATCACATCGTCACCGACCTTGACGGACGACTGGATGAGGAAAGCAAGGTGCTTGCCAAAAGATTTCAGTTCCTCCTCCAGAGCAGCTTCATTGGACTCCCTCGTAAAGACGGGGACGAATCCTTGAACGATTTCCTTAGAAACATTCGCAGATGATGGAATATCGGCAATGGTCTGAGCATAGGCGACTCGGTGCTCCGGGGCAGTGATCTTTTGTGTCTTCAGTGGGTTAACGATCTCACTTGTGATCTTCAAGACCAAGGTATCCGTTTTACAGCGCGTGACTAATGCTCTGAATGAATTAGCAGCCCCTTGTCGAATGATCGCATTGTTTGACTTCATGCTGGAGAGTAGGTGTTTCGACAGGCGAGAGAGAACCACCTCTGAGAGGTCGATGTCCTCCGGGAGCGAGGCACAGAGTGGTGGGATCACACCGTTCATGATAACCTCCGGTGCCCTGAGCATGGATTTCTCCATTGGAGGTACCAACTCGGTGGTCACATCCTCTGCAGTCACGAAGGAACTGAAGAAATCTGACAAGCCGTTGGCCACGTGAGCAGGCACTGCAGACTTAGAGCTCAAGATCTCCTTGACATAGTAGTCCAGAATAGCCTTCTTAGACTGCTCGAGGATCGGTTTGCGGGCAGGCAGTCGAGCACAGACTCCGGAGATGACACCAAGCAGCAGCGCATTCTTATTGCCGGCTGCAGCATCGGTGGTCAATCGGCTAACGGACTGGCGCACAGCATCCTCACCCCATGTCTGGCAAGAGAACGCTGAACGCAAAGCCCGCCTAGTAACCCGGAGAGCTGATTGAATGACTGGAGCCTTGGGCGTATGGGCGAAGCAATTCTCCAAAGCCTTGGCATCCACCGCGATCAAATCCAGCACGATTGCCAAGGGTGTGGCCGAATCCTCACTAACCTGCTGCAAGAGAATGCAGCACCACTCCAGCAAGACGAAGCATGAAGATGAAGCCAAACCTGGCTTGGCCGCCTCTGTCTTGAGTTTCTCAGTCAGATATTTGAGGTGATCCGCGGCGTTCGGAGTGCGGAGGAGGGAGCGGAGACATTGTTGGACGGCTTGGCGAGATGATCGGTCGACGTAGAGAGGATACGTCAGGAAGAGTAGCGCTAGGACGTCATGCTGGGATTCCGGAGAGAGTTCGGTCCCTGTAGAGTCACCAATGTCAGTGTCTGTAGGAGATGTAGGGCCGAGGGTCAAGTTTTACCGCTTCTATCGCGAAGTTCTTGCAGGGCCCGGAGCCTGCGCGAGGTCGAACTCGAGAAGAGTGCGACCCGCAAGGCATCCAGATCCCCAGCCTTGACCTGGTCCCATGGAATTGGATCCATGATCAGAGGTCAATACAGGGGAGAGGAGGGAAGAGGGTAGGTGGAGGGAGGAGGGGGGGGAGGGAGTGAATTGGGTAGTGAAGGTGGGCTGGGATGATCGAATGCTGTCATAAGAGTTTTGTGTGGGGGGGCTCAGAGTGATTGCATTCTCCGCCGCTCAACCAGCCAGGTCCGGTTCCTGTTTCTCCAACTTCCTCAGCAGCTCCTGTGAGTCTGACCTGAACTGATTGATTTTTAGTCTTATCTGGAATGGAAGATTTACTAATCTTGTGATGCTCTTTGCTTGGACAGAATACTGCACCCACCATGCCACCGAATAGTAAGAAAAAGAAGAAGCCCGCCTCCAACCCGGCTCGAGGCTTCGCAACAGTCTCCGTACCCTCGAAGCCCAAAACAGAGAGCACAACGGAGACCCCACCACCGACTGCTATCGACTCCAAATCCACACCGCAGAATGAACCGCAAGTCCCTCGGGCAGAGGACGGGCCCGCGGGTGAAACAACGTCGAACGCGCCTAGGGCTGGTCCCTCATTACAAAGCTATTCCCCGGAAGAACTCGAGCGGCACTTGGAGGAAGCAGAACTACAGATTCTGGTCGATAAATATGCGGTAAAGTGCAGGAGTGATGCGGTGCGCCAGGCAACCAAGCTAGAGACCGAAAGGCGAGTCCTTCGACAGCAATCGGTGTCATTGAGTCTTCTCGAATGGCTTCCAACCGAAATCCAAGACCGAATTCTTGAATTGGCTGGTATTGAAGAGCATGACTATCTCATTTCAAGTGCTCGGAGCACTGGTGCGAAGCAAGTAGTCTCCGAAGAGGAACTATATGGCAAGCTCTGGACCCTGAAAGAGACATTGCTCAAGCTTGGTTTTTCGGAGGAGCGTACAGAAGAGGCACTGAAACATGTCCTCACCTATTTCGCAGGCAGTTCCACAAGCACCAGCCGTGAGGTAGCGTGGAATCTGGACGAGGCGCTGGAATGGTTGGCAATGCACAGTGATAAAAAGGACCTTCCACCATATGCACAGCCAGCTGTCCGTCCCCAAAAAGATGCGGATAGTGTCACTTCGTGGATGATCGGTAAACCCATGGAATCAATGGAATTTGCACAAATAGAAAGCGCTGACTCCTACCAGACTCGGAGCCATCAAGGTCATCTACCCCCAAATCACAAAATGATGGTAAACAGGGAAAGCCTAAGCCAGATTGGAAAGCTGCGAAAGTTGCGATGCCCGTGTCATATGACTCGGATAGCTCTATCGACCCCGACACCATGGTACCAGAGTGGCTAGAGCTACAGACCAAGCTGTACAGCCTTCAACCAGACCTGTTCGATCGCCCTGGAAAGGGAAAGAAGGGCCGTGGAGCTGCTGTCGGAGAGTCGGATGACCCTGAGGTTGCAAAACTGCAGCGGAAAATCGCTAAGATCGAACGAGACGTGCTCTTTGAGGCCCAAGAGGCTGATTTCATCTGGAGAGGGAAACTGGACGAGCTCCGGAAGGATGCAGCATTTATGCGTGGCCCTGTAGAGCGAAAAAAGCAACCCCAGGCCACGAGAGATCTAGCAACGGGCGCGACAAATGGTGGCTCTGATGCTGATAGCGTGCCCACAGACGAAATGGACGATGACGCTACGGGTCTCCTTGGTGACATGTTCGAGGCCGAACCTGACGACGGGTCTATCTTAGGCCTGCCTCCTCCAGTGATTGAAGCCAAATTTATCATTCGTGACTTTGGAAAATCCACCGGGTTGAGCCCACGCAGAGTCCTGGAAGAGACATGTAAAGCCAGAGACTCGGCATGCAAGGTCGTTTACCAAGATATTTCGTCTTCAAGCCACCAATGCCGAAAGGCCATTGAAGTTCGATGGTCCAAACCGCAAGAGCCCCCATTTCCACTGGTGGTTGACTCGGTCACGCATAAGTCAAATGCCTTTACAACTTTCCTCTCAATGGATGGTCTCGTGACACCGAACCCACAGCAGGCTGAGGGATATGTGTCGACCCTTGCGCTTTTCATCCTGTTTCCTCAAAATTCTAAGGAAGGGAAAGCCTACTTGCGAATCCCTGCAGTCTGGCGTGATCTTTGGACCGAATTTTCTAACCTGAAAAAGGCACAGGAAGATGAAATCGATAAAGCTACGGTCAAAGATTTGAAGCGCCTGGTTGAAGAGAACCAGGGAACCTTTGAAGATGATGTCGTGCTTCTAGATAACTTCCGGAAAAGAAATGGCACGGCAAGCAAGCCGGGCAGTCCTGTGAAAGGACCTGCTCGAGCCGATTATTTCGGTCAGGTTGAGCAGCTACGCGAGATTTGGGAGGCCAAGACTTCCACTCCAGCCTTTCAACGCATGATACAAGGTCGAATGAACCTCCCCATCTGGAACTTTAAGGATGAAATCCTGAGCACTTTGGACACCCACCAGGCCCTCATTATTTGCAGTGAGACCGGTAGCGGAAAGAGTACGCAGATTCCGTCCTTCATTCTAGAACATGAGATGCTTCAGGGCCGCCATTGCAAGGTTTACGTCACGGAGCCTCGACGAATTTCTGCAATCTCTCTGGCTCGACGTGTCAGCGAGGAACTCGGTGAAAGCAAGAGCGACGTCGGGACTAACCGGTCACTCATCGGTTTCGCTGTGAGGTTGGAGAGTAAGATCAGCTCAGCTACTCGTCTAGTATATGCGTACGTTCCTTCCATCACCCACCGATGATGATTGTTCGTTTATGGAAGTCTAACTGACCGGATACAGGACCACTGGCGTGGTGGTGCGTATGCTCGAACGACCTGATGACTTCAGAGACATCACTCACGTCGTCCTTGATGAGGTCCACGAGAGAACAATCGACAGTGATTTCCTTCTCGTTGTCCTCCGCAGACTGATGCAGAAGCGCACTGATCTCAAGCTCATTCTCATGTCTGCAACTGTTGATGCGCAAAGATTTTCCAAGTATCTCGGCGGTGTTCCGGTCCTCAATATCCCCGGGCGGACTTTCCCCGTGGAAATGAAGTATCTGGAGGACGCGGTGGAGATGACAAACTACCGTCTTTCAGAGGATGAGTCGAACATTGTGATCGATGAGGATCTGGACGATATCTCTGACAGCACGGGTGACAATATTGGAGGCTTGCAGGCCAGTCTCGATGGCTATTCGAAGCAAACCAAGGAAACGATTCTTAAGTTTGACGAGTACCGCATGGATTACCAGCTGATCAAGAAGCTGCTCTTGAAGATTGCCACTGCTCCTGAGATGGAACATTACAGTAAGGCAATCCTGGTCTTCATGCCCGGTCTAGCCGAAATTCGTCGCTTGAATGACGAAATTCTCTCCGAGCCGACTTTCCAAAGAGGCTGGATTGTGCATGCTCTGCACTCTTCCATTGCCAGTGAGGACCAGGAGAAGGCCTTCGTCGTGCCCCCAGAAGGCTTCAGGAAAATTGTCATTGCCACTAACATTGCGGAAACCGGTATCACAATTCCGGATATCACGGCAGTCGTTGACACAGGCAAAGAGAAGATGATGCGCTTCGATGAACGGCGACAGCTCTCCCGTCTTGTTGAGGCTTTTATTTCTCGCGCTAACGCCAAGCAGCGTCGTGGTCGAGCCGGACGTGTCCAGAATGGTATCTGCTTTCACATGTTTACAAAACACCGCCACGAGAAATTGCTGGCCGAACAGCAGACCCCAGAAATGCTTCGCTTGTCTCTACAAGATCTCGTGCTTAGGGTCAAGATCTGTAAATTGGGAGAGGTGGAGCAGACACTTAGCGAGGCATTGGACCCGCCGTCATCTAAGAACATTCGTCGTGCGATTGATTCTCTCAAGGAGGTCAAGGCACTCACAAGCAATGAGAGTCTGACACCATTGGGATCACAGCTGGCCAAACTACCACTAGACGTTTTCCTTGGCAAATTGATTATCCAAGGTGCATTTTTCAAGTGTCTGGACGCGGCCGTCAGTATTGCTGCCATCCTTTCCTCGAAGTCGCCATTTATCAACACCGTGGGCTCCAACTCGCAGCGTGATGCCGCGCGGAACTCCTTCCAGAGAGGTATGTGAAATTCTTGCGCTCGGTTTGAAATTAGTGACACTAACCTATCTCCAGGGGATTCGGATCTTTTGACCGTGTACAACGCCTATTGCTGCTGGAAGCGTGCCAGGACTACTCCAGGCATGAGCGAGTTCTCTTTCTGCCGGAAGAACTTCCTCAGCCCACAGACGCTCCTAAGTATCGAGGATATCAAAATGCAACTGGTAGTCTCTATCGCGGATGCAGGCCTCATTACACTCGATGGAGCCCAAAAGATTGCTCTCAATAGGTAAGCGGCTCGCCTGCCGCCCCTGGAACGACCTCCAAGTTTACTAATATCCAACGATAGGGCGCGGTCAACGAATCGCAATCGCCAACTATTTAACATCCCCGAGCAGCACGATGTCAACAGTGCTAATGACACGGTGATTAACTCGGTCGTTGCTTGGAGCTTCTATCCGAAGCTCCTCATCCGCGAGGGCAAGGGCTGGCGCAACGTCGCAAACAACCAAGCCGTCACTTTACATCCGACGTCGATCAACAAGCGCGCCGACCCGGCGATCAAGTGGCTCTCATACTACCACATCATGCAGGCGCGCAACCGGAATCTCAATGCACATGAAACGAGTGCAGTGGACGATTTTGCGATTGCCTTGTTATGTGGAGAGGCCGAATTCAAAGTAAGAGATCTTCCATTGACATATTATCTTACCTCTCATCTACTTCCTTTCACCCTCTCTTTTGAATTCGCTCATATTGCATCGACTTCTTCGCGAGAACCCAATGCTAATCCTTCCTACTCGCCTCAGTTGTACTCCGGGGTGATCTCTATTGACGCCAACCGTGTCCGCTTCGCAACACATACCTGGAAGTCCATGCTGGCCTTGAAGATTCTAAACTCTCGTCTTCGTGACCTGCTCGCATCCACCTTCCGCTACCCGCACAAGCCACTGTCCTACAAGCAACAGCAGTGGCTAGATATATGGCAGCAGATATTTACGCTTGCGGGCAAGAAGTAGCACAGAATGGAGTTGTACAGCAAGTACATTCATCCTTTTGTTGCTTCGCTACTGCCACAGATGCTTCTTGTCCTATCTGTAAATCCTTGCGTTTTCTTTTGTCAATTTCGGAAATGGGCATGGGCATGGAAAGGGCCCCAAGACCCTCAGGACATTGAATCAGAAACGTGCAATGATAGATGTGCCATGATTTGAAATGTTTAAGATGGACATAGACGGGCGGTTTGGATTGGTTATACCCTGGACAGGAATGGGTGGGATCTGGTTGGAAAGAATTTCGCATCATACAGCAAAGCATAGAAAATGTGCATTTTGATAGATTATCCTTATTTGACCTCGGGCTGGATTGTATGAAGTGTATAGTTCCTGCAGCACGAATCGACTAATGATGGGTATGGATGAAATCTGCGTTCCAATTTTCACTTGCTTAATTCAGTAAAGCTTTTCTATCAGGTTGTCTTGTTTACATGAAGGAGTGAAGTATGTAGGGAAGTGTATTGCTACCCCCACCTTGCCTAGTATCCATAAACGTGAGTTTTTGAACAAGAATCGATTACATGCCCGTTCTGTCTTAAACTTCATTAACGACGTCCATCAAATTACAGAACGTTGGCATAAGCTTTAGCTTAGATAGACATCACAACATAATACATCATGTCTGACTGCATGCTTCCAACTGCCGAGCGAGGACAATGAAACAGGCACTACCCTGATCTGTCTCTGCAATGACCAGCCCAAGCACAACGATTCTTGTCTGTCACAGCATGGACACGACGCGATACATAGTGAAGATGAACCAAAGAACAAGCTTTATCTGATCTATTCCTTGCTCTGCGATTCGACCTCGCAGCAATCTAGGGTGGCAACCGCCTCGTACGAGGTTGTATCTGCCAGGCACAGCCGAACAATCAGCACTACATCACAGCCTTCTGGAAAACTGCTGCCAACCGCATCTTTCTGCACAGCTCTGTACTGTGCTCCGTGCTTCGTTCCTGATGCCGAAGGGTGCTGGCATCTACCCGCTGCAGGTAGGCCAGTGCTTTATCTCCTGTCATCAATGGGAGGTACGAAACACTAACCATCATATAGCTCTGTCTGGGGTAAGCAAAAGTATTAGAGATAGAATCTTCTACTGGGGACTTCAATCGACACTATCGTGTATGTCCCTACACTTCCCAGTTCCCTCTTCTGCCTTTACCCTTGGGGAACCTCGAAACGGTCTACAGTGTTCGCAATCCACCGCAAAAATTTAATGCAGACGGGCCTGGATCTTCCAGCGGCAATCTGATGTGCATCAAGGGGGGAGCAGAGCATGACATGACCTAGTCAAATCGCCGGTGGTTGGGGAAACAAAGACCGAACCCTGCACCTCCAAAGCACGAACAAACCGCTCAAGGGACTGGAAGTAAGAAAGTCAAAGCCCCAGAACCCTCCGATCTCCGATCTCCAACAACTGCACGCCACGCCATCCCCAGCTTCAGATTCAGATCCAGATCCAGACACGAAAATGTCTTTCTATGAGACATTCCCCGAAGACAGCAACACCTGAAACCAGCGGTGAGTCCACCGCCCAGGTATTCCCCCCCAGGCCCAACCTGACCTCCAGGGCACGCGCGACACGTCGCGCGGCCCTGACGCTCTGGGCCCACGCCAGAACAACCCCATGCATACGAGAAGGGCCAAAATTACAGTTTCAAGAAAGGAGCATCGCCGAACCAGAGTTGCTTCAGTAAGCTTCGAGAATGTGGCGAGGAGAGGCCCACGCGGGCGGAGGATGATGGGCGTGCCCGTGCATGCTGTCTACTGTATTGTCCTCCGTGCACTCCGTACATCGTGCAGAGCGCAGAACGTAGTATACTGATTTACTAGACCCTGTACCCTGTACCATACTTGTTGGCTGCAGGATAGAGTCTGCACATTCTTCGATCGACTGGGGAAGAAAAGCAAAACCAGAAGCAAAAAGGAAAAGGGAAAAGGTAGATGTAGCCAATGTGTGGATGTAGACGAGTCTGACAAAGAGACGGTGAGCCAGGATCGTGCGCTAGATGCGAAGAAGAAGCTCACTGGAATGAGCGAGCTCTGCACGAGTGCGGAGAGATGGGTGCAAGAGATAGCTACAGATCCTTGGGGCTGCGGAGTACTGCTAAGATAAACTGTTATCTAGCATCATCTTAGATATGGGTACTTTGCTGTCCGAAGTCAGGCTTCAGGGATTGGCCTGGAGCTCTCAAAAGCATACCGAGGATGTGCAACTCTTCTAATAGCTCGTGTTACCTCCACGGCCGTGGCCAAAAATCCAGTCTATACAAACAAATCAATGATGTTTCATAACCGGGTTGATCATAGTATCATCATACTTGATAATGTCATACAAGATAAACATGATTAAAATAATAACTAACTTAAGTTAAGTTAGTTAATCTAGGAATAGTCATATACCTGCCAAGAATAGTAGTATAGTATAACATTTTCGGGTCGGGGCACAGGACAGAAATGTCGTACATCTGGTCCAACTGCGCTGTTCGTTGGGGGCCTATCGTCGTGGCTCCGCTGACGTCGTTGATAGCCCACCTGTTGGTTTGGGCTGTGATTTCAGCTGGTTACAGCGCTAAAAGAGTATAGTTGGCAGTATACGGATAACTAAATTGGGTTATCGTGGTCAGAACCAACCAAGACTCGCAAGAGGAGGGGAATGGCTGATTTCAATCTCGTCTGGAACGATGCCGGTATGTGATCCACGAATACGGAGAGGAGTAAATGTTAACGTGACTATCTTAGTTATTAGTTTTGGCGTTGAGGTCAGCTTTGAGACCGGTTTAGGTGTTTCTGTCCATAAACAGTAACTCGAGAAACAATGCGCAATTGTTTATCACTCAATTTAATAACACCCTCTCCTTCCTAGTACTGTAAGTAGTATGGCAACTAAGAGTGATTGAGTAGCAAAGGCGGGAATGAAAACGACCTGGGCGAGACGAGTCAGACCAAATCAGTGCCCAGTATTCCGTCATGAGCAATTACAAGTGATCCCACACTAAAATCGTTTCCTTCCCCACCCGGTTAGCTCCCTAGCTTCTCTCCAAGTATCTCCACCTTTTCCAACGAAGGTGTGTTTTTCTGGAACTCCCGAACGAGCCTGAACAACTCTTTCCCAGTTCAGGGGACAAAGAGAGCCCAGATCAGACCGAAACCAGACATCCAACGATCATCAACGGCGTCAGCTCCACACGAGACATCATTTGCCCTGTGCCACGTCTGCACGCAAGGGGGTTGGAAGGGAGTAGACCCAGTGTGTTTCCCAAGTCAAGAGAGGGGGGGGAAAGGCCAACTGGCGGTGAAATCCACCACGATCTAGCCCGCTCAACCGGCTAACCCACCCTAATCCACTCAGCGAACCCGCTAAGTTACCCTGGCTAACCCACTAGTCTACTAGCTTGGCGGAGCGCTACGTGGTGCAGGCCACCGCCAGTCATCCTCCGGTCGGATCGTCGATCGGCGGGCGCCTGCAGCAACCTGCAGCGACTCGGCCCTCCGCACTGGCCACGCCCGTTCTGGACAACTCCGTTCTAAGCTCTTAGCGTGGTTACACCTTCGCGTCATTGTGACTGGAGGATTCCAACGGAAATCCTCTTTTTCCCTCTCACAAGAGGGGGGATTTCCATAGAGGGGGAAAATGTGCTGACCTGCTTCTTTTCCACGGCGATTCGTCGGGTTTAGACCTCGTTCGCCTCATTCGTCCGGAACTCGTAAACCCTGTAGCTTATCAGACGTTTTCTACGGAAATACCTATACTGCTAAGTATGCCACTACTACCCCAGTACGCAGTTCTCCCGTTGTAGCGATCAGAGCCCGTCATCGTGTCGAGTCCGAGCCCTAGCGACGGAGATTCATGGGGCCGTTCCATGTACAGCACATGGAATTATCCCCTTGTTCTACTATTCTGATCTTGATTGTCAACTCTGCCCCGTGCATCTTTCATCTCGGTATCTCCATTCCCCCTCATTCGCGCCGGAGAACACTCCAGAGTGGGAATGGTCTGCGATTTTGGCGCCCGTGAGCCACGGCGCTAGAGGGTGCAAAGGCAAGATGAACGTGCAGTCGATCTTCTCACGGGACAATGCAATGCGAGTTTAAATCGGGGTCGCACGGTCCCGGGCTGGGCTGCTTCATCACGCCCCGATCCTCGGCTGCGTGGTGCGTTGTCATTCGTGATGGTGTGCTGCTGTGCTGTTGTGCTGTTGTGGCGTGGACCTCTTTAGTCGGTTGTCTCTTTGAGGGATAATTACTTTTAATTTTGAGGTTACCATTTGGATTAAAAAACATGGGTTTTCTTATAGGATAGACTGGGTAATGAGAGGGGTGAGGTTTGAGAGAGGCCGTCTGGCCAGTGGAAAATATATATATATATATGTATACAGTAACCACGCAGCGTTGGCTGAAGTGTGGCTTGAGCAATTCGGTTCGCAAAGACCTAGAGGTACAATATGATATCCGTGATTGTCTACTGTAGCAAATTAAGAGAAAGAATAACGTCCTGCCAACATGTTGCCGAGTACCTTGAAGAATACTAAATCGAGCTTGGGTACTTTTGTTTACTCAATGGGCCACTGGGGAGATATCCCGGATGCCGGTTCAAATTTCGAATATTGTGGTCAGCAGCCCGTCGCCCGTACTTCGTACAAAGTAGTGAACAAATCCGGACCGAAGCCTCGTTACGAGACCCATCTCACCATAAAATCCTCCCCATTACGGAGTGTACTAGGCCAAGCCCTCCGCACCGGACTCCAGGCTAACCCGAAAGCCAAGCGCATCATGACCATCCACCGCGCCCCCTGGTAATTTCCTCCCTCTTTAGTCCACCTTGTCTCGATCGGGGCGAATCACCCGCCTGTACAACACATCCCCCAAATTCGATGCCTGGGGATCCCTGACATGAAATTCTCGACAGTATTTCTCATTCCTCCTCTGTCCCACGTAGAATTCCTGCTGTCCCACCTACCCCTCTCCGGTCTCCTCTTATCTCTGCTAGGCAGAGGCCGACCGGCCGTCAATACTATGAGGGGTCGGATAGTAGTCGGGGGCGAGAAGGAGCCCAATGACAAAGGGAATAACGAGACGAAAAGCCGATGCAGGATCCAATTGTTGTTTACTTACTTTTGAGTATGGCTGTGGGAAGGCTGTGGGAAGAGCCAGAAACAAGATACTTCAGTCAAAATTATGCACGGAAGTCCCCGCACCTACAATAAAGCGAGACTGCTGCCACCCCCTAGGTCTCCCGTATGCATCGCCGGGGCCTTGAACTTCTGCCTGACATAACATTACATAGTATTCTATCTGGTAGAGACCACCCTCTGACTTGCACACAACTATATAGCTGAGCTTGATGGGAAATCGAGAATATTGGCAAAAACCA